ACAGTTTGATTCGCCGCTTCTTCCGTTAAATATTCTGCCGGATTGATTTAACTTGATTTCTCTGGAATTATTCAACCGTTCAACGCGTGTTCGATTGTTCAAGCCCTGGGGTCAAACTCCCCTTAACTCAGTCTGCACGTGGCTTCGTCCTGGAAAGTCAGACTTCAAATTTATCGCGCAATTGAAAAAGTAGCTCTTGGTTCAGAGATTATTAGCCTCGTCGGTATTTCATACATCAATCAACGCGAAAGGAAACTGCATTTCGTATGAATTGTAAGTCCGATTAGTCAGACAGACGTTTGCTAAGGGGTGGTGGCACGGAACCTATTTTAAACCATCTGTACTAAGTTACTGGTCATCGAGGCAAAGGCTTTATAAAGTAGAACTACTTCCTGGAAAAAGTGACTTTATCAACGTCCTGAAAAGGTTGGAGGGGAGAAACATTTTATCTGTGAAACCACCAAACAGAAACACAAATTGAGTTGTTGGTCTTCTTTGTACAAGACCGATCATATCAACACGTATTTTTTTTTTTTTTTTTTTTGACCAGAACAGATTTGAAACAAGAACAGTTGACTCCAAACCTCGTTATGACAGAGGCCATTGATGCGTTTATCACAGAAAACGAATGGGTAGTGGAAGAATATTAAAGCAAAATTCATTGAACTATGTAAATATTCAAGAAATCTCTTCAACACAGTTATTTTGATAATAAATAGCGTTTAGCGGCAAAGTAAATTGAAGCTTAAGAGGGAGCTTATGGTAAATCGTAGAACTATTTATAAAGTCATTAGTTGTTTTACAACTTTTTCTTTTTATCATAAAGCAGGCGAAGCTTTGTCAGTTCTGTTTCGTGCTCTTTTATTCCAATTGCCGGCGATCAAGCCCTCATCGATACCGCAACAGGATGGGTGTTCCTCTACCCACGGGAAGATATGAAATGAGTTGGGAGAAGTCTATTAGGGAGGTGTCACTGATAATTATTCTTTCGCTGGCTAGCGTCGCTCAAGGCGTCAAGCTTTTTCGCGGGCAGAGAAACGCTCGTACTGGAGCGCCAATAATAAGGGTCTTCTAGCAGGCTATTATTTCATCGGTAGCATTACCTTCATAAAAACTTTGTTAGACGACGACATGGAATCAGGGAATGCTCCTGACAAACTCAGTCAGAACAGACATGGACTGTTGTTGATAAATGACTACGATTCATTCCAGCCTGACTGCACATGTGACCACGATTGCTCTTCATAAAGTTATGTCAACAGTATCATTACCTTAGCGTGGACTAGACTTCCAGTAAGCGAGGCGCAGACATTTAAAAGAAGGGAAGCCCCCATCCAAACCTCCTCATTTTCTCACTCTACGCCAGTCTCCCGCACCGGTTTTCAACTGAATGCTTTGAACAGGTTACAATTAGCTTGGGGTGTAAAATGCACGCATCCTTTCGGTTCCCGACTCTTCTAAATTCAAAACCCCTACTTTAGTTTTTACATAGTTTACTTTTAAGGATTGTTCTTCTCAGTAATGACACGAAAAGAAGAGGCTTGAGTTGTGAAAGCGCTTAAACATGACACGGCATGATATAGGGGTTGCTGATGAGGTCGTAATAATGATTTACATATTACTTAATATGCACGTTCTTATGTTCAAGAATCAGAACAATACTGTTTTACTTCGGTTAAATGATAAGTTTTACAGCAAATACTGATCGATATTTACTGATTTGTGAAAAGAAAATATAATTGATGCAATCATTCGCTGTTTTGATTTAAAAGATTTCTTTTCGACCACGAAACAAACCGCACACGTGCCAGCGAAAAAGCGTGCTTTAAAGAAGAGTGCTCCGAAGGGTTAGTTAACTCCATCCCTTTCTATTCTTTCCCACGCCTTCCGTCTAAAAAGATTACGTCCTCTCTAAATCAGATCTGGAATCCATCCGAAGGAATTCTGGGAATGATTTAGGCAGGTTCAAGCAACTCTGGTTTTAAGTTTAACTGCCCGGTACTCCTAAGATGTGATCTTAATTTCCCCCGTCAAGTTTGCTCTGCGTATCCAAATGAATTAGCCAACCCCTTCACTCTCAAGATCCCATTAGTAATTCTCCTGACTGTGTTCCATACGATTCTTATGATGTTGGTTTGGAGAATTTGAAGTTGGATCAACCAAATAATCCCCTAATTGATATTTTTCTTTATTCACTACGCTTGTCTATTTGATATTGTTTTGATATTGTAAGGAGAAATTCTGTCTTGGTCACACTCATGGGAGTTGACAGAATTTGTTGTTGTATCAAGATAATGCCCTATTGCTAATGCTATATTTCCCATTCTTTTCAACTCTTTCCCTTTTTTTTAGAATACTATGATAGGACTAACTTACGCGTGAGTCACTGAGAGGTTGAACACTTAAGCTATTTTTTTTATTTAAGCTATTTTTGCGCCCTTTGCACACTGCACGTGTCTATCAAATGCAATTGACTGATCATGAGAAGCACGCGCTCGTTTGATAAAGCAGTCTGTTCAAATTCCCTTTTCAAATTACCAGTTCTTAGCATCTCATCCTTGACGTGGCCTTGATCGTTTTATTTTAGTTGTTCTTTTCTCTGTATATCCTAGGCGCCAAAAGAAGATAAGGAAACTCCCGCCATCCTTTCAACAATATTTTTCGCTGTTTTCATTTTGAGTTCTAATTGGCTACTTGTAATCTTTTCCTTTGTTTTGATTGGCTGGTGAGTTTATTTGAGTTTAGCTTCAAGGCTCCCCATTCTACACATCTGTCTCCCGGTCGGGATTTGGTGGAGGCATAGTTGCCGAAACAGAAAAGCGATATGTGATGGATGCATCATGTTTTTTCCTCGGCTCGTGGCACAGACGCTGACATTTAAAGTTCAAAATGTTTTTGAATTGTTGTCGAAACTCTTCGCTCACAAGGGAGTAGATAATCGGATTTGCAGCACTGTTTGTCACCATTAGAATAATGAATATGTTATACACGACCCAAATGTATTTTATGCGACCCACGTCTATGAAAACTCTGATTACTTGAAGAAGATGAAATGGGAACATAGTGATAGCGAAGACAATCACCACCGGCACGAGGATTTTAAGAGCTTTTGTGTTTGCGGTTTCGAATTTTTTCTTTCTTTCTCTCTTGTAAGTGCCAACCATGTTATGCATTTTTTTGTGGAGTATTTTGCTGTCGCGAATCTTGCATGCGATCTGTCGATACGCCCATAGAATCAAGAACAGTGGTATAACGTACCAAAAAATTGTCACCGAAAACACGTAAACGGCAAAGGTGGTGTGACTTGGCCACATTGGAGTACAGTCAACAGTGCCGTTATTTTTTATGTAGTCCATTACCAAATAAACTGGAAACACAACACTCATGAAGCTTGCAATCCAAATTGCCAGTATCACCCATTTTGCAATCGTCCTCGACCTGTATGCTGTCATTCCACGAACAATTGCCGTGTGGCGGTCCATTGCTATGGCAACAATGGAGCCTATGGAAGCGCTGTAGAAGATATCCGTAAACGGGTACACAAACTTGCATACAAACCTTCCGAGGGGCCAATTGTCAGGATCAGCGGCTTTCACAAGAGTCAGCGGATAACAAATTGCCAGTACACTGATATCTGCAATAGCCAAGTTGAGGATGTACTTGTGTACAGCGGTTTTACCAGCGCGGTTTGCTCCTGTGATAATAACAACCAAAATATTACCCAGAACTCCAATGGAGCAGATTATAGCACTCAACGTAAGGCGAAGAGTGACGGCGTACCTCGGTTCCAGTTCAGGACGCGGACCGCCCGATCGACTTGCGTTGGGGTAGCTTGAGTTATTAAGATAATTCATGCTTCTAAGAACAGATTGTCGAAACGTGTAATGTTTACTGGAGGCCAACAAACAAGAACTTGCTTACTTCTCTCTGAAAAAAAGACAAAACTACGGTTAAATATGTCAAATATATTCTAACGAATGGTATTTGAAAGCGGTTATGTTCGGTGGAAGAAACTTTTTGGATATGAAAGTGCACAATCAGGCACAAAATGATACTGTAACGCGATAACTTTGAGACCTTCAAAATACTAAACAATTAGTGACCTTCAAAATACTACTAAACAATTACAGGGCAAACTGCAATTTAAGAATTATCAATGGAATTATCAATGGTAATATAAATGAGTTTATATTTTCTTGAAACATGTCAATGAAATAAAAGATACCTATAAAGCAAATTAAATTTTATTTGATATTAACAGAGTAACCTTTTTGGAAATAGAAAACCTCGGTTGAAACTCTAGCCTTTGTATTACGAACAAGGCTTTTAAAAGCGGCCAACAACATTGAAAGACAGCTATTCAGTTGACTCCTTTCAGCACATGTTATTAGTCAAAGGATATTAAAATTATAACTTCATGCCGAACCTCAAACCCTCTATAAAACTGAGTTAAAAAACAAGCGGAACTTGTACACTTTTTAGATTTGGTGCTCTCTGTACCTGTAACTACGCGCTTTCTTGGTTTGGTAAAGATCGTTTGTAGGTTGTCAGTGCTTTACCAAAGGTAATTCTTCGAGATAGCGATAACTTCAATTGGGGTAACTTGAGATAATAAACATATTAGGAGACCCTTGTGTTTCAAACATTTGTACCGGCCATCCCTTTGGCTAAGTCCTTACAGAGGAAATTTGTATCTAAAAGCAATTTCAAGTTCTACCAAATGAGCAAATAATGAGGGATTAGTGCTGATTTTTAGGGAAGAGATAAAAGGGAACTGAAAGTCGACGATAACGGCTGCACTCCAGACTAACATAACCGTGCCAATCGCACGCATTGTTCCTCAAGTCGCTCCAAGGGATTGGAACATGTTCAACTCAATGTGATTAGATGAAATTCGACAACAGAAAATACTAGCGCTGGTGTGGTATCAACTCAAGTCCAAAGTCCATGTCTGGAATTAATAAATCAGTGGGCCAGTTCTGACAAATATTTCGTTACAGCTTTGTTTGCGATCACCATGAAAATGTTCTGTCAGAGACAATCTGGGTGAGAAAATTTAGTGGAAGGCGAAAGCAGAGAAGCAACTTTCCTTTCCAGATTATAAATAAATAAATACATCTGTTTCAGTTCATCAAAGAAGCATGCATCGAGGGCAAGGACTACATCAATCGCTGTGGCAATTGAAGGGTGTTTCTAAATAATTGAAATTCTATATGAAGTGCAACAACTGTTTACCCCCGTCAAAAAGAAACAACTGATAAGACCTGATTTGCTTATGGTACGGCCGATTATTCATGAACCCTAGCAAACGCACATGTCTAATTCCATGAGTCTCAAAATACCTTATTCCTGGGCTTAATCCAGCTTAAAATTAAATATGTAATCAACAAATATGAAGACTAGATCTTAGATGAAAAAGACCTACATTTCCAAACCACATGTTCTCATGTTTGGATTCATGGTCGTAATTTTTTATGAAAAAAAACTATTAATAATTGTGTATGTTTAAATTGTTCTGTTTGTCGCATTTGCCAATAGCCTGAAAATAACAAATAACTGGACATCAAAACACAGCCCTACCTCGCTCGGTAAAACCAATCTTGTACGATCCACCCAAACCGTAACCTTCGTCAAACAATACAATGCAATCAAGCGTTCGAACGTTTAGCGAACGAACTTCATTGTTTAAGAACGAGTTCCGGCTTAATCCCAAGAAAAAACGGCGAATTGGATAGAGCTCTTTAATAGTCCTTAAGTTTATCGCGCAATTGAAAAACTAGCTCTTGGCTCAGAGATTATCAGCCTTGTCGGTATTTCATACATCAATCAACACGAACGGAAACTGCATTTCGTATGACTTGTAAGTAAATTAGCCAGACAGACGTTTGCCAGGGAGTAGTGGCACGAAAGCTATTTTAACCATCTGGGCTAAGTTGCTGTTCATTGAGGCAAAGGCTGTCATAATTTCAAAGGAGAACTACTTCCTGGAAAAGAAATGACTTTAATAACCTCCGAAAAAGGTTGAAGAGGAGAAACATTTTATCCGTGAAACCACCAAACAAAAACGCAATTTGAATTGTTTGTTATCTTTGTACAAGACCGATCAAATACCATATCAACACCTTGCAGAGTAGTTTTTTTTTTTTTTGTAAACTGAGAGATATCCCAAGTTTATTAACCATCCAAATGGTGACCAAGATAGAGTTTCTCCTTACAACATCAATACAATATCAAGCAGACAAGTGATGAGAATAAAGAAAACTATCAACAAGCGCACTTTTAGTTGATCGAATACCAAATTCTCCAGACTTACGTGATAAGAATTGTATGGCAGACGGTAAAGAGAATTCCTAAGAAGATCTTGGGAGTGACGGGGTTAAAATTGTATTAAGGGCGTGTTTAATTAAGTACGATCTGTCTCATCCATTAAATTAGTTTTTTTTTTATTTAACTTTAGAGGTGGAAAAAAGGTCAACAGAGTGATTGACTAGAAAAAATTGACATCACTGTGATACCAGAGGATCACGTCTCTTTGTCACTGACTCGCAGTCATTCTTGTAGTACTCGAGGGATATTATTGATGTAATCAAGGTTCAAAGAAAGGCCAGGTTAGGAAGCTAAATTACATTTAAACAAGGGAACAAAAATTACACGCCTGTCATTCCTTATTCTGTATTCGTTAGTTTGGCAACGACGAAACAGGAAATTGAAATAATCCGCCATCTATTTTCACTTTCAAATGGCACACCGTTGTCTTGAGACACACCTATTTGTAAAATCAACAATGATCTTTTTTTTTCCGGTAGGGTTTCTGAAGGTCTGTTGTTGAAGTACACGAGCTTGCATGCAATTTTGGAGCAAAAGTCTTTACTCACAATGGGTGTCAGTGTTCTTTGATTTTTAAAACAAACAAGTATTATTGTTATGATGTTAATCTTGTGATGCTGACCTTCTATAGTTAACGGCAACTCATGATGCAACACGTCTTGCCACTTTCTGGCAAATAGGGCAGTGAATCCTTCTTCTCCACCTACCTCTCCCGTCACTTGATGTTCCTCGTAATAATTATCAAGACTTTTTAAAACGATCAAATCTTAAAAAAATAAATCAACGAATAAAAAAAAAAAAAGGTAGAAAGAGAAAATGACGGGCTAAAGTCATGGTTAAAAGTTTTTGGCGGAACCCTTAAATCTCTCTCATTCTCACTAGCCTAGGTTGAAAACAAAAAAACCAACTTGCTCCCAGAAAGCGATAATTACAGAGTTTTGCGAGTCAGTTTGACACAAGCATGCATTGTGACTTACGTAAACACAAAATGATATGATGTGTAGGTCGCACCAGTGTTATTTTTTCGAAAATGGATACGGTAGATGGCATGACGGACACATTTGAAAAATGCCTTGAGGCGTTATGACCAAGTCGCACTTAGTGATTCGTGATATGTTACGATTGATGGGAAAATTCACGCCTTACTTCGTGGTTTAATCTGTTAGAAGGTGATTTCAAGAAACTATTTCAGGCTGGACTTGATCTAGTAACACTGACAATTTGAAAGAAATTGCTATAACTGATTGGCAGGCAAAAATATACACTATTTGACGGAGCACTGATACACCATCCAAGAGTTAGGAAATTATTTCAGGTTGTGTTTTTTGGAGATGATCAAGATTAGAAATGATCTTAGATATCTGAGACAAACTTTGTACCAGATACAAAACCCCGATTGAATTGAGGTTTTGTAATACAATCGACGGGGTTTTTTAATATATCACTGCAACTGAAATTACTTCTAAAATTTGCATTTTGTTACAGTATAGCTTATAATATTATAAATAAAGGCTGATAGTTTCGAAAGAAACTGTTTAGGGCTGCGTCGGTGGGGGTAACGAAATAATTTGGATATATCAACAAAGTTGAAATGGTAAATTGGCCACCGTAACGATTACAAAAGCTGACGTTTCGAGCGTTAGCCCTTCGCTCCGACGAAGGGCTAACGCTCGAAACGTCAGCTTTTGTAATCGTTACGGTGACCAATTTACCATTTCAACTTTGTTGATATATCCAAATTATAATATTGTAGACAAATAAATTTATTGAGGAAGCTAGCTAAATAATTTTAAACAAGTCGCATTTCTGAAAAAAAAAATTTTTTGATAGTATTCAAAAACATCGAAATTACTTCTAAAATTTGCATTTCGTTCCAGTATAAGTCATGATATTATAGAGAAATAAATCTACTGAGACTGAGCGAGCTGAAAAATTTCAAACAAGTCGCATTCATGAAAAAAAGCAAAAATTTTTTTTATTATTCTAAAACATCGTGTTTGATGCTCGATCCTCTCAAGCTGTAAAACATAGCGAACAAACTTCACAAGAGAATAAATATTTTATCACTTTTACAGTGACTGGAAATTTCTTATTTTCCTTGATGAGATGTAAGTTGTTTTGCTATTAGACTATCAGTCTGAATGTAGGAGATTTTATAATTTAAAAGGCCTTAGAGAAAAACTGATACGGCTTGATTGAAATAGTAAGGAATTTTTTTTCGGAAAATTTCCATTATTCCCGAATACTTTTCAATTGCATTGATGATATTTCGTAATTTTATTAGTTAGAAATCACCGTTTAAAAAAATCAGACATCTTAGCTTTTGTTTGAGAAACTTGAAATCATCATAATGGACGTTTTGTATTTGTAATTAAAAAAGAAAAAGGGAAGAAGCAAGAAAAAACGCAGCTATTTTCGTGACAGACATCTACCGCGACCACACTACGTCATTTAAAACGTCCCCCTACCTCAAGGTTTTCAACGTTTCCTACTGTTTTCTTGTAAAAGTTTCTCTTCTTTTTCCTTGATTTGTTGAATCATTATCAGTTATTGAAAATGATTTATATACAACTCAGCGTGTTTACCAAAGGTCTAAAAAACACGTTTCGAAATTGTGCAAGAGTTGGCGTCCTTCCCAACACAATCCAACCTTTTTCGCACTTTCCCTTAGTAGGATTTTTGCCAAGTGTCTTACAAGACTGCATGTGAAGGAAGCGCACTTTCTTTTTCAATTTGACGATGGTGTTAATTACAAATGAGACTGGTGTACTTTAAATACCACCAAAATCTACATAAATGTATAACTTAGATATTTCATAAACATCACAAAGAAAGGCGAAAACCCTTTTGTGTTGGTACCCTGAAATTACTTTGTTTTTTTTTTTTTTTGTCAAATGAAGATTATAGAATTTTTTAGTATTCAAACACTTGCTTTTCAACGACAAGCTTATTTTTAATGAGGCCGCTAGTGACGTTCTAAATTGTATAATTGATATGATTTTTTATTAACAGGAGATCTGTTGGCTTAACATATTTCAAAGAAGAAGATGTTTTGCTAGGATGTAGCAGTTAGAAAGCTTTTAGTTTGCGGTTTTTCGGGAACGTCATCCTTACCAGAAATTATTAGCATTCAGTTTTTAAAATCGCAAAACTGAAACATCGGCGAAATCTTTTAACACGTTCATGCAAATATTCACAGACTTCGGAAAGTTTGAAATTCTAATTAAAGCTTAGCAACTTACCTTTTACTAAAAACTGTTAAGTCCGAGTTTTTGTTTTTGTTAAAAGCCTTCGTTTCGAGTTTTGCGCCGAAGAATTGAACCATTTTCAGCTCTTCGTACAGAATACTTTTTGCTTCTGTATTTGACCATCATTTCATCCGTTTCTGCTACGGTCACACAGATGATGTGATTAGACGGCATGGACTGGAGTATTTGTCGGTAAATATGCCTATCTAATTTACCTATTGCTGATAGGAATTGGCATTTTGTCTTATACCCTGCTTCCGTTTGCTTTGCCTGTGTAAATCCAGTTTTCCGTCCTTCGTAAACGTCTTCAAACAGATTTCATTGAGTAATAAAACCCTCTGATAAATGATCTATGGTATCTGAGGATAAATATAGATAAATCTTAGGTGTCGTTATCTATCGCAAACTAGTGTAAAAGGGCACTTAAAAAAGGAAGAAGAAGCTTTCCAATTTTAACAGACTTTTATGAAGCTGCACGAATTTCTTATTTTTTTAGGTACTATTTTGAATTTTTATCCCTCAGCGCGATCTAGATTTTGAAGAAGTGTTTTTTTCGACAAGTAAGCCACGTATGACGATGATAACTTCAGCCATCTTCTTCTCGAGCACGAATCAGGAAAATTAATTGAAATACCGGTATTTGACTTTTTTTATTTACTTTGTGTTCTCTGTAAGACATGTTTTCCTATAGACTGGGCGAACAGTTCCTGAGACCTGGCTTTGGCGTATAGTTTCCTTGGAAAAACCATTTGCATCTCTATGAGGAGACAAATTATGCCTGGCCACAGAGTTACTGTGAATTTCATTTTCTGTTAATGATACCTTCCATGATGTAATTTATGACGAAAAATTTGTTTTTAACGATAAAAACTTGCGACAAAAACGTTGCTTGATAACATTGTAAAAAAAAAAAAA